AATAAAAAAACTGATTACGAGATCTTGTAGATCAACTTTAAATGCTTCTCCCATGGTGGCATAAGTTTATATTCAATGTACGTTGAAATCCCCCATGGTTAGTATGTGAGCGCAATTTCGTAGTAAATTTCATCTTAATGAAGCTTCTAAGTGACAGTCGGTTTCGAGTGTATAGTTAGAGGAAGATACAACTAGACAATAAGTCAAGCGTCTCTGCATTTTATCTGCAAGTGGCCTTAAGGAGAGTCTGGGAACTGCGAGTCTGAATCGGCCACGGCTTCGCACTCTAAGTCGCTTCGGTAATACAGATTTACCCCTCCTATTTTGTGAGCCTGTCGATCCAGATCAGCGACATGCCCGGTAATGAAACTTCAGCGTCCGTCATTCCCGTGCGCAACCACATCTCGGTGATACCAATGACATCATGTGACCCGGAAGGTTGCCCATCGTTCAGTTCGGCCAGTTTATTAAAAGGATGCTGTGCATTCGGAGAGAAACAGGCCAGTTTCTCGATCTCTAAGAGCCCACAGAGGGCTAAAGGGATAAAGTGTGGGAGAATGCCGACCGATGAGAGGTCGGCAGTTACTCGTAAGTTGATGGGATAAGGATATTTCTTCTGAAACTTGGTTCAGCCAAAGAGCGTCTTAGTCTACGTTTAGACCTACGTCAGAGTCAATTTAAGCAGCGGTCAAGTTGCGCTTTTGTGCCTTCCTTGGTACGCTTGCTGCTTCAAGTGCTTTAATATTTGAACTGTGCAAAGCTTCTGCGACCTTTAATGAAAGTACAGAATGAAGAATGTTTTGCTTTCTGTGCCATCGATTAAAATATCTATCGCATGTTTTCTGACTGAAACCTATGTTTTAGAATTCTAAGGTCACATCTGGTGAGAGATGGTGCCACAATATTACCCGAAGAACGGGTTTAACGAATCAACCGTCACTGTTCTAAATTGTGCTGTCCGCTTCCTTGAACCTCGTAAGACTAATTTTTTGGCAAGTCAGGTGTGAAGATTTATTTTAGGCGGTCTTGTATACTGTGTCCATCTTCGGTGTAGCTTTTGGTTGTGGCGCGCTCCAAAGGGCATCAGGATCGATGCGTATCCCACAGGATCCCTGTTACAAGGCGCTTGCGGAGAGCAAAATGATTTTGCGTCGGTGGAGGCTTTTAGTTTTATTCGAATAAGTCTGAATTCTCCATAATGTGGCGAGTATGGATGTCGTGTAATTGGTAATCGGTTTTTAGGCTTGGCTTTTTCATTCATCAGCATGCACAATAAGGTTCGTTGTTTTATCGCCTAATAACTTATTCCGCAGTGTGGTGGCAGCAGATTTAGGGATATTTGCACATACAACGTTCCGGGCACTGTGGTTGGATCCCTATTTCGTTGATCTACAATGTAGGGTACACCTATGTCCTGACCTTCTGAAAGTGTTGGTTGTTTGCTGTTTGCCCTTCTATTCGCGTTAATGATGTGTAAAACAGAAGTGGACGCAACGGTGGCCTCCCAGAGAATCTTAACAGCAATCTCTGCATATGTAACAGTTGTTCCGGGAGCTTTTCTCTACAAGAAACATTTGAGTTACAAGTACCAAGGGTTGGTTGTTGGCTGCTTATCCTTGTTAATGCAAGATGTCGTGTCTAGTAAAAGTTGTTTAACCAGACGTTTCGAGTGGTGCCTGATTTTTATTGCCAAAAATACTTTTGTAGCTCTCGTCGTTATGGCCAACTTTTGCCTGGCCTTCTACCAAAGTAAGATGAGACAACGGAGATGGGAAAGCAGCTAATTGCGGTTCAGAGGAAACAAAATGTGTAGTATTCCGTTACTTAGACGCCGCTACGCTTCCATGGTGCATACTCGCTTCCATTAAAATAACTTCTCGTATATCCTCTGCGCGGCTACTGCGATTAACCTGTCGCGCTTCTGACCTAGGATAAGCAAGCAGTTAACGATCGGGATGGTGGAGCACTTAGTACAGAACCAAAGTGCAGCTTGGGAGCTATTTCGCTCTCGTACCTGTTGTTAGGACACATTTGCACATTTCGTATGATACCATCCCAAACAGTGCAAACGAGCCAGACCTATTTTAGCGAATCAATGGCATTCTTCTAACCCACAAGTTCCTTTCGCTTGGAGCCTTTTCGGATGCACATTTCTGACATTCAACATGGTGTCGTTACCTGACCAAGTGGGTTGGTCAGCGTTCTGTAATTTTCCGACTTTGAGAGCGGCACACATCGGTCAGGCGAACGTGGTGGCATCAAGATCAAACGATCATTCGGCCTGGTCGCGCGTTCCGTGTGATGGGTTATGCAGGCGCAGTGGCTGAAAAGGTCACATGGAACGGAGACTGGCTGGAACTTGCTAACTGAATCTGAACACAGCGCCAAACACAGTTTGGGTGATAACAAATTCTTTCAAAGCTACGTTGAGAAACGCCGGATCGGAACAAGCTTGGACTTTTGGACTACATTGTGAATGTTGTATCGAATGGCAATCGGCTCAGTGTGCTCGGGTTATCCGCTCGCGCTTCAAGGATAATAATGAAAACGTCTAGTGATGGCACGGACTTTAATCATAGAAGTTATTTCCACGTATGATGAATCACTAAGTAGGGCTGATAAATCCGGTTTGAATGAGCGTACAGTGACAACACTGCGAGATGTTGGAGAGGTGATAGAGAGGGATAATCCAAATAAGTCTCCTCAGATTGAGTATTTTGGTATGGAAAAATGTCCAGATCATCCTACTCTGCCACACCAGGGATTCCGTTTGCACCAACATCATAACGCCTGAGAGCATTGCTAGCTCAAATAAAGAGGACAGAACATTTATTCTGATATATGCGCATCAACCGTAAGATTGGCCAATCCATTTGAAGATGAAAAGCCTTAGAACCACTAGGGATGTCCACATGTTCCTGACCTAGTGGTCCTTTGAAAAACATAGCAACGATACCACAATCTCCTGTGTTAGGTCATTGCTATAATGCCGCCTATCCATCATTGCCACTCCCAATCAGCAGGCTTAGGGTGGTCTTGGAAAGCACCGAACGCCGGCGTTTAGACCTTATGGGTCTCCTCAGTAGTGTGCAACCCAGCGGACCCTTGGCGGGTTCCGCCCCCATGACTTCAGGATGCCAGCAGCTAGTGTCACTTAGTCATTGGATGACAGCTGCGGACTTGCGTGATTGACAGTTGACTATGACATAAACCGACTCATCTTCCACTGCCATGTTAATTGCGAACGGTGCACAGGACAATGACTGGACTCACGAGCAAATCGCATGGACCATAAAAGCAACCCGTGCGGAACACCACTAAGAACGGCTTTCCTAGGCGGTAGGCTATACCTTAGGCGTACACACGACAAACACCCCATTAAAAAACAGACAATCATTTAAGAGCGCTACCAGATAGCCCATAAGACTTATAATTTAGTAAGAGTCGTAGAATGCGGACGGTAGTAAAGTTTTTCGAGAAGTCTAAGGAAAGCACTTCAACAGCTTGTCCACTCTCTAGTGCCTCATGCCAGCTATTATGGGCTACAAGTACACTTGAAAAACACGAAAATCCCTTAGAATAACCGTGCTGTGGGGCAATAAGTTTAAACTTCTTCAGGTTTACTCCACCGAATCCATTTACAGATTTTCAACCAAATGGACTAATACGAATTTACAGGTCTGTAGATTGCAGTAATAGTGCTGTCATCGCCAGTATAAATCGGACAGGTGACTGCCTCCTCCCACTCCGAAGTTAAGTCACAGCTGTCAAGTACTGTATTAAACACGCATGTAAGTGGTCCAAGTTAGTCAGTGGTCACTTCATGCATTAGTACCAAATGAATTAGTGCTGAGCCAGAAGATTAGTACGTTTTTAGCTCTTGCAATAACTCGATGACTTGTTTCTCCCTTATACTGATTTCAGTTAAGCAGGAACCAACAGGGGTTCCTTTGACCAGCTCAGTATAGGTTAGAAAGGGCTGACGGGCAAATACACAATTAGATTGTTATCTGTGTTAAAATTTTAATTTAGCCGGAGTGGGCACCTCTAATATCCGCTTGTAACTGTGGGGGTATAGATAAGTATTTAACGATGCCCATCTTTAGGTAAGCAAGGATCTTCTTTAGATTTTTTCGCTTGCGTCAACTAAAACAATCCCGTTTCGAAAACGAGCAGCTCTGACATTCTGTTCACAATTATTCTGACCACACGATAGCGTGGTTAGGTGCTGATTGACAGGCTCGCTTGCTGTGTAGGTATTAACCCATATACCCTATCCATAGATGCAGAACCCGTAGCTCCGTATTTTTCATGAGTCGGATGGTAGGAGCAGAGATCTCGGAGTGATATGCCATTAATTTCCTTCCTCTTATGGGCCGCATAGGTCACAAAATGCATAACTAAATTGTGGCTCGCATAGCGTTAAAGACTGTAAACCAAATATTTGTGAAATCCTCAACGGTAGCCTGATGAAATTTAGATAGAGCACATCGAAATTTT